CCCCAAAACCCCAAAACCCCAAAACCCCAAAACCCCGCATTTCTATTTTATAATTGAAATTTTTCACAAAGTATTAATGGCTGCCAAGTATATATTGTTAATCCTAGGTTTGTCTCTTTCAGTCCTTGCTAGAAGGAGATCCAGGCCAGATAATAGTACTGCTCCACCAGTTAGGGCAGACTATACTCCTTTCTCACACTGGTCCTGGCTTTGGGCAATTGGGTGCATATTAGTTCTTTTGGCTATCAGAAACTGGGTCAAAAACAGAGCCTTTGACCATGCCAAAATTAATGTGATTGACGAAATCCAGAAAAGAGATGGAGTTTATAGAAGGAAAGACTACGAAGCCGATAGTAAAGGAGTTCTCCAAACCTTGCCAAAGGACGAAGATGGATGAATCAAACTCCCCTTAACCAGCAGGACTAAAATCAACCATGACACATATCATTTCAGGTAAATTTCTCTGATAACACTTAGATTTGATTTTCCAAAGAAAGACCAGGAGTTTGGTCTGCATATCGGTGGCCATGTAGTCTTCTATGCAAATGTAACAAACCCAGAGACAGGAAAAGAAGAAGAAATTGCAAGAAAATATACTCCAGTCTCTACTGTCCACCAAAAGGGATACATTGAATTTGTGATTAAGATCTATCGCGCTGGAGAGAATTCCAAATTCCCTCATGGAGGACTTATGACTCAATATCTTGAGAAACTCCCCATTGGAGAATATCTCAAAATGGAGGGTCCAATGGGAAAACTTAGTTACCTTGGATGCGGAAATTTCTACATCTCTAAGAAATATCATATCAAGAAGGAAATCGGGATGGTAGCTGGAGGAAGCGGCATCACTCCTATCTTCCAGATCATCCAGGCTGTTGTCCACAACAAGGATAAGATCAAATGTCATCTTCTCTTCGGGAACAAGTCTGAAAAGGACATTCTTATCAGAGAAGAGTTAGAGCAACTCCAGGAAGATTATCCTGCTAACTTCAAACTCACCTACATAATCGATGCTGCAGAGAACCCAGATACCTGGAAGGGGGAGACTGGATACATCACACAAGAGATCCTTGAGGAATACATGCCAAAAGCAAGTGACAACAGCTTGATTGTCACATGTGGGCCTCCCATCATGAACCAGTTGGTCAAAAAGTTCATGCCTGACCATATGATACACAAGTTTTAGCTTTCAATAAGTCAAAGTTTGACTGGGGTTTTGGGGTTTTGGGGTTTTGGGGTTTTGGGGTTTTGGGGTTTTGGGGTTTTGGGG